TTAATCTGATAATTGATTGTGATATTTTACACATATTTATTTAAGACTAATATACGTAATTCATTTATACGTAATTGTCGACTTTATGTACACTTCTCTTCTATTTTCACATATTATAGTACGCAATCGACCGCAATAAAAATTCTTTCCGTCGTTTCTTCTCTTTCTTCTTCTCAGGTAAAACGTCTCTATATTTCTGGCATCACCACTATAGATAATACCAAATCATTGGTACAAAAAGGAAAGAGTCTCATGCAGAAACATATGATACATATAGCATTTCTGCAGACATAAAGTACATATTTTATCACTACTTTAGATATCATACTATTTCTTTCTTTTTTGTTTTTGTTTCATCGATATTAGCTTCACTAACTTCGAACTTGTCAGATATTTCGTAGGAATTTTCGTAGGAATCTTCCGAGTATTCTTCGATATTCTTCATTTGTCTTTTTGATTTCTTCAGATCTCCGTTACTATTATTTATTTTCAATAATGTCATGATACCCCAGCCGTTACTTCCGAATTTATCGGTGGTTTCTAGCGTGTAGATCGCGTCGTGCGTCTTCGAAATTATACGATTCAATTCATAGAGACTTACGTTTTTGGAAACGTTCAATGTCGTTTCTAAAGGATTGGTAATATAGAGCGCCGAACGTGATGGTTTTCGAATCTGCACACCCTCGCGGATGCATATTCCGTACTTTTGAAAATCGAATATCGAATAAAACTCAAAGAAATCGTATAGAAGTGTCTCCAGACTATCCTGATTTATCTTATATTTATAATCAGGTGGCAATTTGTTAATATCCCGCAGGAAGGTGCAATCGATGCCATTCTCTGCGCAACGAACATCATTATCAGCTGTATAAAAGAAAAGAAAATAGAATTTATTAATCAAGCCGTTATGTAATTCTTTTGATTATGATATATGTGACTTACTCGAATACAACTTTAATATTTTTAAGGACGGCAATATCTTCTTTTGTTGTAAAAAGAACAGGACTAACAACGTAAGGGGAAAATTTGTTATCCACTGTCCTGGTACGTCGGATGTTAATTCCTGATTCTTCGCCCATGCTCGTATTGTTATAACAAGCGGTCTAATTCGCCAATCCATTTCTCCATACAAATTTAGTAATTCGGTCATATATATAGCAGTCCTGTAGAAGAGATCAGTATTGACGTTTTTGTCTTTTTAATCCTCTAACTACTGCTGTGAAAATTACATTTAGTTTTAACACATCCTATTTCAATTACAAAACGTAAATAAATCTTCGACGATTGATAGAGGAAGGTTCAAAGTTTTTTTAAATTTGACGTTTTGAGTCCAAATGACCTATTGCTGTAGTTGAGGATTCATTATAAAAAAAAAACAAATCCTATATCAAGTAAAATTGAAATTGAGTGTCTTGACTTACATATTTGTTGCACTTAAGTCACATTCAGTTTGTGTGTAGTTATAATAGAATTTAATTATAGGTACTCGAGCTTCCAGAATCCTTCTGACATTAAGAATTCCAGGGATGAAATACTGCATGCTGTCTGCGAGTATTCTCAAAAATTCTTTCGTTTCATATCTATTGCTATTATTCATAAACTTTGAGTGAAATATCAATCTACTCGTGCTATTATGCTACAAATGTTACAATTCATTGATAAGTAGGATTAAGTACGTGAATATTTAATTAATGTGAACATTACTTATATATTTACTTCTTCAGTGTCGGGAATAAGAACTAAATCAAGATCACACCTTTTCCTTCCAAAACCATTCATAGAGGAACCAAATGGCAGAACCTTTATATTCTCAAATAGTTTAGAAAAATATTGCTCTAAATGGTGAGCAGTGTGAAATCTCAGTCTTACTTCTAAATCGGTTAATTTCATCATCTCATAGAGAATTATTATCTGTCCTGATATCTGCAAAGATTACAACTTTTATAAGATTAAATGTTTCGAATAATCCTAACTGTAATATAAATGAGCTTACCGATTTAGCATTACATAATAACTTTGCTCTTTCATTTTCATTAGGCAACGTACAACCATTTTGCACAAATAAAGATACCTTTCTCTGATTATTTTTCTGTGGTGTAATAATTTGTCCTTTACGAAACCATAATATCGAGGATTTTATGGACATAATGTCTCCTTTTATAAAGGAAGCAAATGACATAATTTCTTTTATCGACACTATGTCTTTAAACTCAATCAAAATATAATTCTGAAATTAATCACAATATGATACTTTTCTAATTCATTATTTAATATTATATATTAATGTTGCATTTAATTTTGGATAAATATTAAACAATAGCTGACATACTTGTTGATTATTTATATGATAATGGTGCATACTCGAGATATCTCCAAATTGCGAACAATAATTATGGAGATCATTGTGTGATTTCGACGAATATACTTGTATCAATAAGCTTCGACATGCCTGATGTCTTCTTTTGACGATTTCAGTCTCGTATATACTTTCTGTAATTACAATTGTCAGATATAGATCTCGGTGCGAAAACAGAAAATAATTGTAGTATATGAGAAAGATCGGTTTAGTTAGAGAATATTAATTCATATAGCAATCTCAACAATTACATTGAAGTTAGTAAATTGTTTTGAAAAGGACTGTATAAAGAACTGAATTTTAGCTGAATTTTTTGCACATTTTTTTCTTTTTTTCTCCAATATGAAAAGAAAAATAAAAAATGAATTAAGCAAGAAATACAGCTAAAAGGAACAAGCCTTGTTATATTATTTTTTTTTTTTTGCTTCTCATCACCGGGTGATGAACTTTAATGTCTTTGATCTGTTTTTTTCAGGTTATGTAGCACAAAACTTCTTGATCTTAAGTATAATTTTCACTTTGCCTATTTTATAATAACCTTGTGGCATAAAAGTTCGTTTGAGTATCTGTAATCTCTCATTTTTATATTAATATTTCGTTCTAATATTATTATTACTTTATGATATTATATTTATAAGCTTGTAGGTTATACACTGAATTTATCATATGACTTACCTTGTTTATTGTTCTTATGTTGCTTGATAGTTGATATTGAGATGCGATCGTGCGATCTTAATCTACTTGTGCCCATTATCAACTTTTTGCAATAACAGTGATTTAACAATGAAATGGTATTCGAATTAACACGGCCAAAAAGCGCCATTTTTAAATGTGCACATAGCTCTGTCTACACAGCGTGCAGCATGTACCACATGTGCGAATAAAATTGTAGGTTATCGAGACTTTCCTGCACTGCACTCTCTGAACTGGTGCACATGAGAGATCTGTTTTCTGTGGCTGAACTAGTGTACACTTTTTGAACTTAAAGTGAGATAAATATATGTTTGATATTTGTTGAAAGTGAGAACTAGAAAGAGAGTACTAGTGCAGGAACAGAAAACAGACTAGAGATCTGTTCTTTTTGGCTGAACTTTTGCACCAATTCATCTTTCTTTCTTTTCTCTCCAGAAGGAAAGAAGAAAAAGAAAGATGAACTGGTGCAAAAGCCAAAAAGAACAGGAGTCCTATTCTTGAAAAGTATACAAAAAACTAGAAAAATACTATAGTATGCGTTACATATACTATAGCATTTCCCTAATTTTTCGTATGCGATATTTTTCAAGAATAGGGACCCAGATGGTATGATAAGTTGAATCAAAACAAATATACGTTTGTTTCATTTCAATTTATTGCAGTGTGCGTCAATTCAGAAAGTACAGAAATAAAAAAATAAACGCATATCCTACGTACACTGCAGTGTATTAATTCGCTGGGTCATAATAGCGGCCCGATTTATCGACGTTTATTTTTTTTCTTAAATACTATCAACTTTACAGAAAAACTGCGAGAGACCAAAAATCATTTATTTTCTTCTCATAGAACTCTAAGAATTTTTTCAGAATTTTTTATCAACTTTTTAGTATTATATTTTCTTATTTTTGATAAGTCGCCCAGCGAATTAATGCACTGCATTGTACTTTACAATACTCTACATCATCTACTTTACATATGATTAGAGAAAATGTACTTTTTCTTTTATTCTTTAACTCTACTTTTTGAATGGAGAATTCAATGGAGAATTCAATGAATTATAGTAAATTATTTTTTGTTTGATTATGTTATTTTTATATTTAGTCGAGTTTTGTGAATTTAAATTTTATTGGTATAATAATATTATAAAGTCGATAATTATTTATAATTGGTAAATTTGCGGTGATTTTGGGTACAGTCAACGCGATGCTACAAATGCTTTACAGCAATTTTTGGTTAATCAATTTTTAAAATTCTTTTTTCTAATTGGTCAACCAAAATGCTTTAAAGCATTTGTAGTGAGACTTTGATTGCGTCTTTATCGACTGTCTGTATAAATTCATCTATTGTTATATAATTAAAGATTTATGTACTTATAATATTACACAATTATCTATACTTATAATATTACTTATAATTATCAAGGTCTGTTACCGATAAAAATTTTAATTCAAAAATCGATAAGGTATCAGAGTAACATAATTAACTAACAAAATAAAAAGTGGCACTAAATGCAATTTCAAAAATTTTTTCTTCAATTCTGGATTTTCGAGCCGCATTGAATTTTCAAAAAAATCAACAAAATATTAAAAAAAAATACAATCAACATAGAAGTGGTTTTAATTTAAAAATGTTGAAAATCCAAGAATTCCTGAAACGTTTATGTTTTGAAATAATTTTTATATAATTATTAATTATTTTAAACATCTCAGACATGAAGTTTCCATGTTTTTCTGTCTAGATTGGACCAGTCTTTTTATATTTAATTTTAACGCTGAAAAAGAGACCGCACTTATATGTTTAAATATATTATATTTCTTTTTTTTTTATATTCTCTCCGGATACGCAACATATATCTTAAATCATTATTACTGTGCAGCAATTATAATTGTAGTTTGATGATTAACGCAGATGATTAATCGGGAATTTACAACAACTGTCTGTTGTCCCATATGACTCGCGGCGGTGTACAATACGTCCGATAGTGGGAAGTGATAACGATGGGCGATAAAGATTGAATTGCGCCGTTTGTATGAAATGACCGTCGTGAGATGACCATCTGTGATTTCTTCTTCTGACCCAAGGAAGCGCAGACGATGTGGAAACTGGACTCGTACGAGCTCACGCATCCGGAATCGCTGTCAGAGCATCAGCTCCGCGAGATTCTGAAGAATGTAAGTTGTCGCATAGGTTAGGCATGTTTACAAACTTCTCCCGACTTATCTGTGATTTTTCTCTGTTTTCTTATCCGATTTTATTGGAAGATAATTTAATGTACGTGGGAGTCATTGTCTGAATTATTTCAGACTTCAACAAATGTTAACATGACACAGATTTAGACATTAAATGTCATCCAAGATTTTAGTAGATTTTATGAACTATATTTTTATATGAATTTATAAACCAGAATAACATAACTCTAAATTATTATTTATAAAATAAAAAAAACAATGATAATGTATATTTGTTGAATTAATGATATTTGTTATAGGAATAATTTATAATAAAAGCATATCACTGACATTTAAATTTCAGATCATATTTTATGATGTCTCAATTACATCTTTATATCTTTTTTCATTATAGAGTTGCATTGAGATCCTTAAGTTTGAAAAACTATGTAAAAGTGAATTGCTGGAAATGTACAAACGAGTTGCAATGCCTTTACCTCAGCGGCAACATGCAAATGCAAAGAATATAGTAGATATGATATCAGAGAACTCCATTACAGTTATAAGGTAAGTTTTTTTATATAAAGAATATTATTTAGATAAAGAATATTTTAAATAAAGTATACATGTTTTACTGTGTTAACATTAAATTTGTCTTTCTTTTAGTGATAATGATATGCACAGTTTAGCTACAGACTTGAACAAAGGAAATAAGAGGATATTTCAAACGTCTCAACTTCAGACAGATACAAAACCTCTTAACGATCAGAAATCAATGAGCAAGAAGATTCGATTATGTTCAACGCCAAAAGAAATTGGATGTAATGGAATTTATAAACGCAATTATGGAGAACAGAGCGAGGTATCATATCTTAATCCTTTATAATTCAGATAAGTCAAATAACTAGATAAGGTAAGAGAGGTAAGACTAAGTCTACTTACCTCTAGATAAAGTTTGAGTTTTCTACAATTAAAGTTCTGAGATAAGATTTTTTATTCAACATGTAAGTTTACAAAATGAAATATTTACAAAGATTATTTGTTTCTATTGAAGTGTGATATTATATAAGTTTTACAATAATCTTAATTTATAAGCAATAACAGCAGATGCACTTGAACCTTTCAGGAATCTCTACCGAAAAAACGTCAGAAGATAACATGGCCATGAACAAGAGAAATATATCCTCTACTTCTTTTTAAATCTGTTACTATAGAAATTCAATTTGAAATAGTAACATGTTAATACAATAATTTTTATATCATATGATTGAACTTGCAATGTTTGACCAGTATATGAAGGATATTGTATATATTCACACGAATATTTTAAGAACAAGATTGCTTGCTAATCTTGCTAAACCGTTTGTAATACTTTGAGACCCGATTGTTCCACCTTTTGATAAATTTTATCTGTTGAGTAAGTAGCCAAGTAATAAGATTACCCAATCACATGCGTGAATTACCAGATTTACTTAACAGGTAAAATTTATCAAAAGATAGAACAACTAGCCTTGAATCATGATTTAAACAGATCGACAAACATTAATATACAAATAACTTATGTTTCTCGATTATTTTAATGTCCGAATAATATAAAAACTATAGATTCTATGTGATGATTCTATAAGTAGGTCTGATATATATTTTGTATAAATTTTATTATATAATTTGCGTAAAAAAAACGGGAATTTAATTAGGTATGACTGTTAGATTTGGCAGCTGGCGATATATACAAAAAACTAACATTACGTTTAATATATATATCTCTACACATTGCTATATCAGTTTATGTAATCGAACAATCGACAAATTGTACATACATGACAAATTTTGTTTGTTAAACATTGAATCAATGCAGTATTTGATGTTAAATGAATCGATAGAGGCGTGCGTTAGTCAAGATAATCTTATTGTTTTGCGACATATGGAGATGTGAACAGTATTCAATAACAATACAGTTACTTAAAACGATTATTTGTAATACATAATATCGTTCGCTTATTCATATTATATGCACTGCTTATAAAGTGGAAATATCTTAGCGTTTGTAAATTTAGAATGTACATGCACATATATTAGGTCTGTTCTTTGTAGCTACATTACTTTGTATTTTCTACGCTTTAAATGAAATAGATATTTAATTAAAGAGTGGAGAGAAGGGAAAAGAATTCAGCTATAAAGAACACAAACTTATTGCACCGATTGAAGTTTGTGCTGCGCAAGATCTACGCAGTATATACGTCATTTTTTTATATGCAACATTGATCAACAAGATTTAAATTATCCATTCATGTATGAATAAATGATCTTAATTGTTTTAATGTTGAATAAAAGTATCAATGCGAACGTGTGTTTATTATATATGTATAATAGTAATGCTGACATAATATTAAAATCTCTAGCCACAGGAAATAGCCTCTTTTAAAGCTTCCATTGAAAGAACGCATACATATATAATCTTATAAAAAATTCTAATATATCGTTAATTTTTTTTCTCCTCTAAATATTTATAAAAGGATATTTATAAAAGGAGTAATTTCCGAACATTTTAAATTGTATCATATGTTTGATGTAATTCTATATTGTGTCATACGTTTGATGTAATCCATTTGGTTTTATGTAGTGTATAACACATACAATTAATTATATAAATCCGTAACGGAATCTTTTTCGAGATAGAGAAAGAGACGAAGAAGCATCAGCGATAACACGTTGCGTAAGCAAGAGTGGTTTGCGGAGTCGTTTCACGGTCATGATCAACGCTCGTCCTCCTTAATATATATATATATATATACTGAATGACTCATTTTTGTTTATGAAGGAAGAAGAGACAAGAGGAAGATGATTCACGTGTCTAACGAATCCGTAATCTCCTCGGCGGTGATAGATGTACATCGCATTTTTTATAACGCAAAGGTGGAGTCTTGGAAACTCCCTGGGATTTTTAAATATGTAAATGCTTTTCGAATTATTATTCGGATAATTATTTCGAAGACAAAATAGAAAGAGACTAATAATATTATTATAATAAATTAATAATATATAAATAAAGAATTAGAATCTTTTATTTCATGGAAAGGAAGCAAACGAAGAAATGATTGGTTCATTTTTTATGCATTATGTGTTATGCATTATGCAAGATTCCATGGCTCTCGCTATTACATGATTTTACGCTATCGTGGAATAGCTCTTTAATTCTTAACTGATGGGTCCATTGGATTCATGTATATTAGTTATGGATTAAAGAACTCCCATATGTAATATTTTTTTCATAACGCCTCGTGTCGGAAAAATTAACGACGATCGTATTCGCGCGTCCTCATCCGAAGACAAAATACGAGACTCTTCCGAAAATGAATCATCCTCACATTTATTGATATTCCCGGTCCGTCACCTCGCGACGTGGCGGAAGCCACTGGTTATACTTATAGCCAGTACCAAAATCGCCAGAATTACGCAAGGGTGAAAGCACCATCGGTGTGCTGTTGCATAGGAGAATTATTGGTCACGTTCATTTCCTCACGCCTCGCAGTCGCGTAATCTTCCCGATCTCGAAAAACACTCGGCGTTAAATCACACACGTCGTTTTTTTTTTATCTTTAAATCTGCTTTCGAAAATCTCCCGCTGAAATTGTACGCTGAATTGTTGCGGTATGGAATTGTGGCTGAAATTATACAGTACACGTACACCCTCGTCAAAGTCCATACAATTATGTTCGAAACTGGTTTTTGCACCACTCTCGCGTGCGTCGCGTTATAAATGCTATACTAACTTTTACAGAAAAAAAAGGTACTTCAAAATGTTTAAATAATTTCGTTTACGAAAAAAAAAGAAAAACGACGAGTAGCGTAATGCATTCTCTTGCTTGTAGCGTTTATGCAATAAAATTAACATTCCATGACTGCATCGGAACGCGCGACTCCCGAGACATTCCGTGAATGGTGAGCGCGATTAAGCGATGCCGTGAGGAATTTAATAAACCGGCCAATTCGGCGCTCAGAACTTTCTTTCTTCCTCGTCCGGTACACACGGTATGTATATCGGCGAGTCATAAATCGAGAGCGAAACTTCTGTCATCGCATCACGTACTACGCTACTTCGAAGACTGCTTGCGATGCAATGAGGGATGTGACGAGCAGCCGCTGACCACCCCGATGCTGCTATAAATACGTATGTCATCGTTTGTCCGAACGTCAGTCTTGTTTGCGACACGTTTACCGGTACACAAAGCCATATTAAACAGAAAATGGCTGTCAAGGTATGTTAAAGGATGGCACACAAATTTTATACATCAAATTCGATTTAATCGATTATAAATTTGGAATATTTCTCGAACAGCCTTTGGCTATTACACTTTATCCATACAGCACAGAATTTGCAGCAATATCGCTAATTTCTCATTCAACAATATAACTGTAATACACACGTGTTATATTACAGTTTATATTGTTGAGTGGGAAATTACAACTAACAGTTATGTTATATGTAACTTTGTGTTTGTTGGGTTTGTACTGTAAGGATATATTCTTTTAATATTTGAGAGACACCGTTATATTAATACTTGATATTATATTACAGTTTACAATCTTGGCTGTAGCAATGCTTGCGATATGCAGAGGCGCCGTCATACCATCAGCTTTCCCGGCCATTCCAGCTGTTCCAACTGGTCCAGCTGTACCAGCCATTCCAGCTACCTTGGCCGCACAACCGGTTTTTCCAGTTGCTGCAGTTGATGCCACAAATTACGATCCTCATCCTCAATACAGTTACGCCTACAATGTCCAGGATGCATTGACTGGTGATGCGAAGAGTCAGCACGAGAGCAGAAATGGTGACATCGTCAGCGGCAGTTACAGTTTCATCGAGGCTGATGGTACCAGACGAATCGTCGAGTATACGGCTGATCCTGTGAACGGCTTCAACGCTGTGGTCCGTCGAGAGCCTCTGGCAGTGGTGAAACCCGTCGTCGAGGTCGCCCCACCTCCACTCGTTTATCAGCCCTGAAGAATGTGATAATGACTGTTCATAACAGTCCACGGAAAGAACAATTTTACTAAAGTGTCTACAAATTTAGCTAGATATAAATTTAAAAATGATTCCCAACAAGCAGACGTTATTTATCATTTTTTTATATCAAAATGATGTCTTGAATATCAAAATAACGTTAAAATAATGACACGTAACATCAACTTGTTTTCCGAATTGAACAATCTAAATAAGCAACACTTTTAAACATGATGAGCAATACTGCAAAAAAGTTTTATCATTCTGGCAACCAGTTTTATTTTACATAATTATTTTATCTATATCTAGTTAAATTTTTAAATATTTTAGTAAAACCTTTTTTTTCGTGTCCACAGGACGAAAACTAGTCACATTATATATAATGTATTGATGTGTTGTTGCATGAATCGTTAATTGTTAATGATTGATTTTTATTAAAGATTTTTTTACAAACTGTGTGCGAATTAATTTTATCTTGACATAATAACTTTGCTATTAATAGATTACGTGTCGACCTTTTTGTTCTAATTGTATCTTTAGAACGTTATCGTGATGCGTATTTCACAAATTTGTATTTTCATAAATTTTTCGTGAGTTTATACAAAACAAGTTACAATGAACGAATTAATGTTACGCGAATGAAACTGTTAAGTTATGTAATGGCATGTAAATTTCGCGAATCGGGTCATAAACTCTCCATTGTGAATATAATTGTGTGAAAGTTTACAGATTATCAGATTATATATATCGATGCAAAACTTACAAGCGACAAATTTATGTGGAACATACATTATACTGTGATACTTATATTTTACATATTATATAGGAATCTCTAAGAAATACGTATTATTGCAAATTTAATTAGTTATATAATAGCAAAATGAGATATAAATAAAAGAATCTTTCAAGTAAAATAGTGAAATAAGATTCATATAACTTTTGATGTCCTCATTTTGATGTCCTTGTAATCATAAGATTTTTAAAAAACTTTCTTTTTCAAAAAAGGTCATTGCTTTCTTGTCAAAAATTAATAACGTATTAATTGATGACTGATTTTATATCATATAGATTGTCAAGTTCGTTTTGATGGCGATTATTAATTTATATCCGAATATACATTCTAAATAAAAAATAAATAAAAGTGGTCTCTAAAAGTGATTATATAATAATAAAAAAAAGTAAAAGAAATAAAAATGACGAAAGTGATCTTTTGCACATAATTTTTTAAATAATTTAAATTATTGTTTCATAGATTATTTTATTAAAAATGGAATACATTTTTGTTGATTCGAAATTGATTGCTTGAAGTAACTTCAAATATAAATTTTAAAATCAAATACGTACAGTTTTAATCTTTAAGAAAATGTTAGATTTGCAAAAATGTTTACAGAAAAATCTTTACGTTTGTCCATTTTTAATTGAGATATGTTTGACATTTTCAAGATAAGATCGTATGTAGACGGCACAACTATTGCTATGAAATATAAGTGAGAATTGTAGACTAACGGTCAAGCAACTAACAGTTACGCGAATGGTAATTAACGCAATAGTATACATCGAGTCGTGTTAACACAACTCGTGTTAGCGTCGCTCCTACTGAATGTATAATAAAATTCAACCGATTGCAGGATGTGTGGCCGTCTTCGTTCTTTCGTCGAACGGCCTTGATAGACTGTCTGTATTCGACATATTGGCACACAACACGTATGAATACGTGCATTGGATATGATTACGCGTATTTCGGTTATCAATTGCTTGTTCATATCGAGTTTAGTGCCTATACATTAGGCAACATGTTTGTTCATCCTTTTCCAAACATTGGAACTGGCAATTTTAAAAATACTTCTTCCTCTCAGAAAAGTTATTACAGAAGAGTTATATTTAAAAAAGAAAGTATTATCATCATATATTGAATGAAAATGTTATGGAATAATATTTAATCAGGGAAGTTACTTAAAAGTAATGTGTTACTATTATTTATAATAAAAAGTAACTCATTACCGATTGTAAAAAGTAACTTAAAAGTAATGATAAAAAAATCCTTACTTTTCGTTATTTTTTTTTGTAATTATGGAAGAGATGGACTTACTCACCGATTTTGATAAAATTAGAGTCATTCGACGCATTTTTGCACGAAATGAACGAATCTGACAGAAAAATAAGTATTGTTCAGTTCGGCGAACCGAGATTGATTAAAGTTGATGACTATTGAGATAAGGAATTCTGTTAAATTCATTTATTTCGTGCAAAAATACATCGAATGATCCTAATTTCATCAAAATCGATAAATAAATCTGTTTCCTGCATATAATTACATTCTTTTTAAGTATTAAAACAGGCTTCGAGAACAGAATGCTAAGACAGAATAACATAACAAATTAAACATAAGATATGTAAAAAGATATTTATCTTCGAACATTTTTTTATCTTTTATTAATATTTTACATACTTATGTTTAATTCTATGATATTTTATTATATAATAGATATTTTAGTTTTTAATGTTTTTATGCTAAAACGAAGATAGTGAATTAAACAAAAATAGGCAAAATTTTTGTTTATTTAATACTTATATCTTATTATCCATAATGGTTGTGATAAAAAAGTAAAAAAGTAATGATAACAGACTCAATTTTGTTACTTGTTACTAAAGAAAACGTCGTTACTTTTTCATTACTAATAAAAAAAGTAATGGGCGTTACCAAATCATTACCAAAAAAAAATAACAAAAATGTAACGTCGTTATAATGCCCTATATTTAATGTTATGCAGTTTCTTTTTTGTTACATGTCATCGTCTTTAAATTGCTACTCTTAGCATTTTCCGAAATGTCACATAATTTGCTGTCGACAAAATTTTCTTCAATTCGAATGTACATATATGAGTTGCATCTTGCTTCTAAAGTTTAAAGCCTAATCTATAATATTTCTCTCTTCCTGTTTCTTGCTTTTTACCTCTTGTTTTTTTTGTCTTTGCAATCGATCGACAATCGTGTTTCTTCGTCACGTGCTTCTTGTTTCTTCCCAAGTCCGTTAACTTCTATCTCGCCACAGAAAACGACGAAATAGAAGATTCGAAAAAACAAGAAATAAAAAATAGTAAACAAAATAAATAAAAATACAGATTGAGCTCTCGAGATATTAAACTAATAATTAATTAAAAAATGGGCAATTGAGAGTTTTAATACGCGGTAATTAGTGCAATTATATTTTCAAACAATGTGTTTCAAATAATGTGTTTTACATCTCATTAATTACCGCGTATTAAAACTCTCAATTGCCTATTTTTTAATTATTAGTTTAATAAGAAGTAAGAAATAGTCCATATTCGTAATTAATTTTTATTTTAAGATCGTCTTAAAATAATATGGTTCTGACATTAGCTTGTGACATCTTAAGACTGCACTTAAGAATGTTTTAAGTATAAGAACCAACTTGAATACCAGAAACAAAGAGCACATTGTAGATTAAGCTAAACTCCATATGTATTGTTTCTCCTAGGTATGTATAATTGTCCTATCGACAGCTAGAAAGGCGAGGAAAAAGAGAATGAGGGTCTTGCAGCGTGTTCGGGGTACACAGTTCCACGATTTCGTCGAACGACCTCGAGGTCTCGAGTCTTCGGCATATTGGCATCCAAGTCGCGTGTACGAACGGACAGCGGTGATATGAAGAAACATATAAGCGCGCGTACATTGGTACAACCGCAGGTCGGACCTCCTTGTACATCGCAATGATCATCACGGAGGTCACCGCACGGCCTCTGAGAGGAAGATATAGAAAAAGAAAGAAGGAGACAGAGGTAATGATTAGGTGGGGCGTAGGTGGCTGTAGGGAACATCATTGTGTCGTCAAATGACACAAAAGCGACGACGTATAAAAGTACGGACAATCTTACCCCGAGGCATCAGTCCTCTTCTGGTGATCCTCTCGCGCGCAAACATGGTCGACACGGTAAGGGAGAAAAGAGAGAAGCTGGAAGACATACTCAAGCATTAGAATCTTCTTTTCAGTTATCCTTTGAAATGATTGTGTCCGAAAGACTGTATTTTGTAATCGGTTCCCACGCTTACTTAAGTACTTTTATCATCAAATATCAATGACCACGCATGTGTAAAAAATCTTGACTACGTTCGATTTGGACTCTCACGTGCTGTAGCTTCATTCTATCTTTACTGCTCATTACATCATACATTACTACGGAAAAAAGATGGAATGAAGTTTACAGCACGTGAGCGTCAAAATCGAACGCAGACCTTGTGTAACATTACTATAAAATACGTATCGATGCTAAAGTGTTTTAAGGCTGGAGAATAGAGTTTTGCAGAACGTATAATGTATAAAGTATAAGAAGATTAACTAATCAGTCTTTTGTTTCATGAAAAGGAAGGAAATAAAAGGACTCTTCTTAGTTCATTTATACATTATGCGTTGTGCAAGATTCGATACGTCCACTCTTAGAGCTGTAGCGGAAAGGCTGACTTATAATATCTTAAGATGCAGTGTCTTATGAGCTTATGATGTTAAGTCTTATGGGCCTTCTACAATAAGCCATTAATCATAGATCAGAAGCTAAAAATTAACCAATCACAATCCTGAATTTTTAGCTTCTGATTAATGACTTATTGTAGAAGATTACGTCTTTAGTAACGCACAAGAACTGTCTTATGACTTATATCTTAAAAGCACTTTATATTTATACACCTTTAAGACATAAGATAGTTCTTGTGCATTATTAAAGACATAAGACTTAAGTCATAAGATACTGTCTTAAGACTATAAGCCTTTCTGCTAAGATCCCAGAGATTCGATAAGGTAATTGGAGTGTTGCTGATTTCACATTAATTTTCAGCTCTTTTTCTTTCTGGGACTGGCGGTGCTCGCTCGAGGGGCAGTGGTGCCTGCCGTGCCAGCGGCAGCAGCGGTGGTGCCTCTGGCGAAGCTGGAGGAGTTCGATCCAGCGCCACAGTACAGCTTCGCGTATGACGTGCAGGATGCGGTGACCGGTGACTCCAAGGCCCAGTATGAGACCCGCAACGGCGACATCGTGCGCGGCAGTTATAGCCTGATCGAGGCCGACGGTACGCGTCGCATCGTCGAGTACACCGCGGACCCGATCAACGGCTTCAATGCGATCGTCAGCAGAGAACCGGTGGTCGCCGCCATAGCGGCACCAGTGTTACCGCTCAGACCGGCCGCGTTGACTCCAGTTGGCATACCGACAACACCCGCCGCTGCCCCGGCACCGTCGATCCCCGCCGTCGGGCCCGATTCCGACGTCGAGGTACTCGACACCCGGTCGGGTCCCTTAAAAGCGAAACCAACGACGCGCGAGCAAGAGATCCAGCGTCAACAGTTGCAACAGTTGCAGCGGCTGCAGGAGCAACAGCACCAGCAACAGGAGCAGCAGCAGCTGCGACAATTGCAGCAGCTGCAGGAGCAGCAGAGACAACGGTCGTCGAAATTACAGATCCAGAAGCATCAACCACAAGAGCAGCAGCAGGAACAACAGACCGCGCAACAATCCGCACGGATCGTCGGACCGACGGCTGGACAAATCGAGCGACAAGTCGCGAATCCCCAATTGATCAATCTTCCAGCTGCTGCCAGGGCGATAGCCACGTACCCCGCTTACCCTTACGCCGCGTATAGCGCCGCGTACTCTTCGCCGTTCGCCTACACTGCACCCCTCAACGGCCTGACTTACACCCCCGCCGCCGCGTTGACGTAAACTATCCACGTATCTACCTCGAATTATTATTTCTCCGCACGAAAAAAAGAAATAAATAAATTGGGTGGTACAGCAAACCTATAACTTACTGCGCGAATTCAACATCTAACTAAGAAGATTTGATGGTTTAACAAATCGCTAATGTTATTATATATAAGCTATATATATAAGCTGTCAACTTTGCTACTTTAACATAGAAAATTGACTGTTTGTATATTACGACTGTAGATTTGATGAATCAGCAAAGTTTTCAGCTGTGTTTTTTTTTCCGTGCGAATTATTTGTTAAGATTATTGACGACAAAAACTAGAATAAATTGTTTGCCATGAGTTACTTATACATCATCATCTCGTTACTTCCTGACTGTTTCCTTAGTATCGAAACACAATAAGTGTAAGTCTTTAACTTTATAAGAACTGATCCATTACAACCGATTGTGAGAAGAATAATGACTATGATCGGTCAATTTCTTCAGACTGTTGTTTCGAGACTTACGAAAAATACTACTAGAATTGCGCGAAAAAATTATTGAAAATGATTAGAAAACCATAAATCGGATATTCTATTATACTATTCGTTCCAATTTTGCACTAATCTAACAATACTTTTTCATATATAAAATTTCTGCGATTGACATTCGTCAATTCTGTGCGTCATTTCTGTGACGTCTATTTTGGACGATATTCATAATCCGTTCTCATATTTGAAACAATTTTAAGTAGGTATATAAATCAATCTGAGCATCGGATTAGCATCTTAAGACATTACTTAAAACGGTCTTGAAATAAGAATCAACTATAATAAAATACTGGCATTTATTCTAACCGAAAAATACGAAGTAAAAAAGCGTAATTGGCCGAAATGATAAGAGACCGCTGACGAGACAGTCAATATATCCTAATTGATTACGTATCTTAAGTCGCATGCATGCTACAAAAATTGGATGGCATGTGCGCATCAAGTAAAAGCGACGAACTCTGAATGTGCGTCGATCAATGTCATCAACGAGTCGGTCGGCTGTCATGTTGGGACCCAATCCATCCAGCGTTCGCTATTACGTAAGTCGGGCCTGTTGTTACGCGCACCGGGCCCCTGTCGTCGTCTTTACGCAACATACGCCACGCATATATGTATAATACACGCATGCACGTAAGGCGACCTTCAGTTACGCGCATTTAATTTTAATGGTGAAAAGGAGATCATTATTACGACCATTAGTCTACAAATCGTAAAAACATGGTAATTGCCGTCTTCATCTTTGGAATGTCTTCATTTCACTCTTGATTGGCAGTTCACAATAAAAAGAATTGTCTTTTTATAATACGTCATTATCGTCGCCGCCTTTTCTTGAAAAGGGTATGTTTATATGCAACGACATGTACAGAAATTATATAATTATTGAACGAAACGTTTTACGTTTGAGAAAATTATATTCTGCGTAATACTTAAATTTTTTTAATAAAAATGAAAATGTTTATCATAAAAAAGATTATTTTTTATTATTGAGAAAAGTTATATATCAGTATGTAGAATGCTTGAAATAATGTGAAAAATGTTTCATATTTCGAAATCTCTTTTCACTGAGTAAGTAGTAAAGGTCAATGGATCAGGCAAGTAAACGCGGCCGCAGATGTCTGCCCAGTGAGCGATGTCTACTACTGTAGTAGCTTTTTTAACGCAAAAATCGTTGACAAAGTAAAATCAAGTAAAAGAACTGTTTTTATATATAAACATTTTTAAATTATGTCATAACTATTTGATCACCAACTTATTTATAATCATTTATTCATTAGCAAAAATAAGAACACAAAAGAAATAGTAAATATGCAGAAAATATATGAATATAAAAAAATACAAATATGAACGTATCAAGATTGGAAATTAGCGTTTTTTTAAATAAAATATTTGTGTATTTTTTTTTATAAATCAGATAAGATTAAATTCTTTTATTTTTTAAATCTTTTTGAGTAATAGAATACACACTTGAATAAAACCATTTCTTGGAAAAACATTCCTTTTTGTTTAAATCTCTGATAATTTAGATAAATTCTGATCTAAAAATAATTTTGTTGGATCACCAAAATAATTATGTAAGAAACTCAAGCATGATGAAAGCAGTGTTACAAAAAGTTTAATTGTACAACAACCAGTTTCAACGTCCTATACATTATTTTGATATAGTGTAACAAAATTATTTTTAGATTTACATCTCTAATTATTTTTCAACAAAAATATTTCAACAAAATCGTTCTTTTCTTGTATACTTTTTTATTTTATATATTACGCAAACACCTAAACAACAAAACTGTAACAATTAATATAAAAAAAATTTTGGCTAACATAAAGTTTTAATATAAATCAATTGAAATTCAAGTATTGCGATATTTGCGTCGTTTATTACGAAAGATTATGTAAGACTTAAGCATTGACTATTATTTGCAGAGACATGTCATCCAGGAACCACATCGGTCATTCCTCGAATAAAACAGAAGTTTCAGAAAAGAGTAACACGTAATTCGGATTACAACGTCGTAAAAAAGCTCTCTCTCTCTCTCTCTCTCTCGCTCTCTCTCTTTCTCTTTCTCTCTGTTCGTCTCTCCAAGTCGTACAAAACAGAGTGCAGCGAAACGAAAAAGGAACGAGAAGGAGAGTGGTTCGCATTCGCGAATCGACTTTCACCGAACAGAAAACGCGACTGCAGCCGCGGCCGTCAAAGAACCGCGCCCAATGTCACTATGCGGCACCTCGTAATCGCGCCCCGTATTACGTACGCACAAAAGACCGGTCCACTTTTGACAGAGAGACCGGTCGGGAATCCGAGCGAACAGGCGAATCGCCGCGGGCGAGAATCGAGTCGCGATACGTCCCACGCTGATTCATTATAGATGATTTTAATTGCCGTCTCTGACTTTGACAGAGAGTTTATCACTTGCCTATCAGGTACTTTTGCGAAAAATTGATAAGAGGAAAAAAAATGTCAGGTTTCATTGAATTTTTATTATTATTTGATTCCTCGTTTAATTGAAATTTGAGAAATGAAGGGAAACATGATATATTCAACGAAATACAGCCGTAGAAAAAAATCGCTCCTCTCGCTCGATTGTATCAATTTATCATAAGGCGTAATTAATTACGTAGGGTCACTTAACGTGATGCGCGAAATCGCGTCGTTATTAACGACATTAACACTCGATTTGCAAAGCATGCACGTAGCACTTGCGGTAACTGCAACTACATCGTGACTGGAGTACCTTATGTTTAAATTGATGAATTAAACGAACAGTACATTGCGCATCCATGTCAGATTAATTCAATCAGATTAATACAATGTTTATCTTCATTTTATTTTTAAATTAAATTACACTTTGCTGTATTAAAAGAGATCATGCCTATACAAGTTCAAGTAATTACCGGGATAAATTGTTGGCAAATTTAACATAGTCTTTTATCATCATTTAAAACAAATCATCGATTCTCTTTATCTCTCTATAAATGGAAGAAAGTTATATATGCTGCCTTGAAATATTTTTTATAAAGATATGAAATTAAATCTATTTCACATTACAATATTTATTAAGTGGCAATTTATTAAGGATATAAATTTTTTCAAAAATTGATATCTACAGTAATCTAATTGCAATGAATCACGAAATCAAATCGAAATGAACGGAGTGTACTGTCGGCTTTAAACGGATATTTTCGACAAAACGAATAAAAGATCCTGCATGTACGATCCTCGACAGAATATTTGAGCTCACCGATTAAGGTTACATGATTTTTTTATTATTTAACCACACTCACGTGGACCAAGGTTATCAACGAAAGTGAAAAAGGGGTCGAGTAAATGCCGCACTCATTTAATGGATATCGAATGTTTCCCCAAACTCGTTGAAAAATTACTCGCTGTCAACTGATCTTCTTACTTTTTATAAATCACTGTCCGGCGATGGTATCCACGGGTGAAGCTACAAGTAAAATTTAAATCAAGGATCTTTCTTCGACCCCATCATTTCTCATCGGCGCATCGTAATCCGAGGGATCGTCTCATTTTAAAGTGCATAAACGAAGCAGATGTTAAGGCAGTCCATTTTATTATTAATGACAGTTGTCATGAGCGTCAAATAAATTATTGACGAAAAAGGATAAAAAAAATGAGGAAGAATATAAAGAATTAATTCTTTATATTCTCAGAAAGTAGAATTCACTGTTTATTTATATATTTACCTTGTTCTTAATTATCAGCAAGGGATGTGTGCCATCATATAGTTAAAAATTCAGAATAAAAATAAATAGTATGAAACACGTAAAGATTCTCCTGCATTATACTGATTAAGGAGTTTGATCACTCCTTAGCTATTGGCGTGTTTCATACTTTTTACTTTTATTTTGAATTTTTAGCTATAAAATATCGAAGATATGTCGCACATATGAAAGGCGAAAAGCAAACGGGACGATATCACAGATTAAATATAGTATATATTATATATTTTATATTAAAATGCAATTTCACGTTACGTTGTATGTTGTGGGCATCACAATTTTAAAATCTTATCGACTCCAAAAATATCTTGACTGCATCTTTATTCACTCGCGTCATTAAGAACTCTCTTACGACACTCTCGCGATTTAACGATTGTGCAACTGTACGCCTCCCTTCATTGAAAATTATACGATCCTTTTTTCTTTATTTCTAAAAGTCATTTTATCTCCCACGTGCGCGTCTAGAATTATTAGTGGCTTATCCTTACAAAACAAGAAATCGCGCTAATGAGAAACCGTGAAAATCAAGTGAGATACGAGATAAGAACAAGATCAGGCCAATAAATATTAATTGAGGATTAACCATGTTGATTTGTTGTCGTGAAGGAAGGTTATTCGCGATATATCCACTCACCATAACGTGATCGCGCCCTCGAATTTGCATAGCTAATGACCGGTTTCAACAAGCTTGATTTAATTATATTTTAATACATTGATGTTGGATCCCTTCAGTTTCAACTCTATACACAAAGAAAATATTTAACAAGTCTTGTCTCAGAACTACTTTCTATAGCAACTACCTCTTTACAATTTAATTGTATAACCGAATATTTATAATAATAATAAATTGAGGACCAAAAAGAAAAAGCTAGAATTGAATAAAAATTGGAAAAGTGAGTGTCTGTTAATTCGAAACTTCAATCTTGAGAAATGATCAAGATGTTTGATAAATAAAATGATCCTGGTACTATTAATGGATCTAATATATGAATCATGTATTAGCATAATATATAAGCAATTCAAAATATATAAGAACGGTAACCTTTAGTATCAAGGCCGTTATTGTAGACGGTATTTCAATATGTAGATCACTATACCGATCATTTTCGTGGAATCGTCTGGTCGAGAAATAACGCGTGTACGCGCTTCCCGAAAAGTGCGAGTGGTCTGCCTGCCCTGTTACGCAACGCAATTTAAATCGAGGCCTGGAATTTGGACGCCTTTCTCCCACGGCAAATGAATTCAGCGCGGCGCCGTGCGAACGAATGAGCTCGAATTTGGTTGGCGTGTATACGTAATTCTTCTTCCTACGTTTCTTTGCTTCCTTACGTGCTCGCTTATGCTCGAGACTTATGCCGATATTCATAGTGGGTTCTTATATTCAAGATCGTCTTAAGTACAGTCTTAAGACGTCATAAGCCAATCACAAGGTCGCTATTCATAGTCGGTTCTTATTTTATCCTTCTTAAGTAATATCTTTAGATGTTAATACGGCTGTGTGATTGAATTATGACATCTTAAGACAACATTTAAAATGATCCTAAAATAAAAAGTGACTATGGATGGTATTCATAATTTGTTCTTATTTTAAGACTGCTTTAAGAAATGTCTTAAGATGAAATGCTGCTCTATAATTGACTTATAACATGTTAAGACTGTATTTAAGACAAAATTAAATCTACAATAAATACCGGTCTATGAAAACTGATCGTGATCTTCGGGATTTGAAGCTTCAAGTGTACCTTTAATGGATTTTATTTTAAATAAATCTTTAAGAAGACGGGAGAAAGCCACTATAATGATGCTGAAAAGTATCATTTTAAGGCAAGGTATACAGTGAAAATAATGAATTATAACAAACATTTATTCAAAAAAGAATATTTTTCTCTCTGTAAGATTTAAAAAATAAATCCTCCTAAATGTTAATTTGTCACTAGTAATGTGAGATATAAAAGTCGAAATTAAATTAACTGTTTCGATGATAGAATATTGTAATTTTTATTTTTAGCGATTATCAGGTTCGGATAAAATTGCACTTAAAATTATATAAATCATCCGAAATCAAATCGGATACATTACGATGTAATATAATTAGGCGAATACAATGTGGTAGAATTATTCGGCAGAATGTTCAATGGTTCAATTATCTGAATGAGTCGAATTAACGTGACCCATGTCGCACGCAGCGCGAGTCATCGCCGATCGGCGGAACACGACGGGCGACATTGCATTCGCAAAATTGGTGTCTTTCCATTGTCATGCCCGCGATTCTTAGGCGATGCAACGGCACTTTTGCAATCGGCCGATCGAGACCGGCGAACAAAAGTGGAGGCTCCGCGATCCTTGCGCGGCCGCGCGTCTTTGGGAGGTGCTCGAGAAAGGACGAGCGAAAAGCGGAGAAAGTGGGTCAATTCTGGCGAACGCCAGAAATAACGTGATGCCGATCGCCACGGTATTACGCGCGAAAGTTTACCCCATGCATCAAGGGCGTGTGCGGCCCGTTCAAGGACCGAGAAATTTAATGCTGCTTGTTTTCGGGACGAGCCGTTACAAAAGTCAAATTGAATCTAGAAACAGATCGTTTAAAGTACCGACAAAATTTGAAAATTCATTCCTCTTTATTTTGATATCATTGTGAGACAGCTATTTTTAATTCTTATGATGATTTACATTATTCGATACCTGAAATATCATATTCTAGATTTGATAAAAGTTGTTTCACGAAAGTATGAATAATAATTTACAAGGCATAATTTTGTAGATATTATAAGATTAAATCACGAGTTATGTAATTGGAAATTAGAGCGAGTAATAAAGTGGCAGATAATATCATAAAAATCAAATAGCTGTAAAGTGTTATTTCTGTTTTTAAGAACTAAAATTTATTTATGTTTTATAATCCGTATTGGTGTTTAATATCGCACATCATAAATACATCACAGGGACAGCTCTCGATAATCTTGAATCGCGAGAGTGTCGGTGTTCGAAACAATGCGAAATAGATTCGGCATAAACGACAGCAGCGAGCAATTTCGACACCATGTAGTGAATTTATATTAGCATGACGACACAGAACAATACGAATTGCAATCGCGATCTAGAATGTCGCATATGACGCACACGATTAGCACATCATATATGGTAATCGCTCGATATCTAGATTTTGACTGCTTTAATTATTTCGCCATTCTTTTCTCGGAAATTTCAGAACAGTAAGAGTGCTTAAATAAATATTGATACGTGGACTTTTTGATTAATACGATGTCATTTGTTTGATAAACAGAAAATAGTGGGTATCCTTCGAAAGAAGAACAAAAATTTGGTAAAAATTGTTAAATACTTCAATTTGTGAATATATCATATAAGTAATTAAACGTGAATTTTAGGTATTTTTCTAAAATATTTTTTCTTTATAATATTTTTACTATCCTGCAAAAACTTTAAATGTTTCATAAACAAAGAATGAAAATGTATTTATATATTTGAACGTAAATTATAATATGTTAGAATATTTGTGTGATCCTTTGGTATCATATAAGAGACATAATACTTGGATGATTATTTTATGAATGCAATAAAATTAATCAATATAACAAATCAAAATAATCTTTCTGATTACTTTCCATCAGTGATTTCATAAATTATTTAGATATTTCTATTTTATCTTTATATTCAGTTGATTGAAATCGTAATGAATTTATTAAAATTGATCATTAATACCGCAAATGTGTAATATTCCTGTCTACCTATTTTGATTTTGTGTATTTCATTTTTCTTTATCTTTTTTTATTTTAAATTGATTATAATATTCGAATTGGAAGACTTTGACTCTGTCCGTTTATATTTTAATTTTTTGCAAATATTTTTGTATTGCACATATAAATATGGAATACAATTCATATACTCGTCATTAGGCATATATACTATTACAAGTAATTCGCTTAAATGTAAGTAGCCAACATATACTGTACATTTAATTTTAATACATATGTACATGTATTAACATATTACATGATGTACGGCAGGAAATGGTTAACAAGGTTTCGAAAGCAAATAGTCTCAAATATGTATGTAATTTCTTTAATCAGTCACATAAAAAGAACATGTACATGATATAAAAATAAATAAGTTCGGCCTGAGTCGACAATGTAGATTGGCGTGGTCAACACGATTAGTGGATGTAGGCAGTTGGGGCGGCATAAGAAATGGCAGATGCAGCCGGGGTGGCGTAGGAGATGGCAGATGCAGCCGGGGCGGCGTAGGAGATGGCAGGTGCAGCAGCAATTTTAGCAAGAGGAGCTGCTAGAGGGGCGGCGTGCGCGGCATACGCAAGAGGAGAGGCGTGCGCGGCATACGCGAGAGGAGAGGCGTGCGCGGCATACGCGAGAGGAGAGGCGTGGGCGGTGTAGGTAAGGGGTGCAGCGTGTGCGAAGTGAGCTACGGCAGGGGCGGCGATTTTAGCTACGGGGGCGGTATAGGTGAGGGGAGCAGCAATCGGGGCGGCCAGCTTGGCGACGGGAGCGGCGTAGGCGAGGGGTGCAGCAGCTACTGGGGTGGCCAGCTTGGCGATGGGAGCGGCGATCTTGGCGACTGGGGCAGCGTAGGCAAGGGGTGCAGCGTGTGCGACATGTGCGATGGGGGCAGCAACTGGGGCGACGGCTTTGACAGCAACGGCGGCGGGTTCCTTGCGGACTACGGCGTTGAATCCGTTGACTGAGTCAGCGGTGTAGTCAACAGTGCGCCTGGTGCCATCAGCTTCCAAGAGGGAATAGCTACCCTGGACGAGGTCGCCGTCACGGGTTTCGTGTTGGCTCTTGGCATCTCCGGTCAGGCTGTCGTGCACGTCGTAGGCGTAGCTGTATTGTGGATGCGGGTCGAAGTCGGCGTCGATAGCCTTAGCCACCACTGCCTTGGCAACGGGAGCGGCGGCGACGATTGCGGGCACCCCGGCCTAAGCCAAAGGGGAGGC